GTAGCTGCGCGCGTTCTCGTAACGGCCCCAGTCTCGACCTGGCCCACTTCCTTGATCATCTCGTCGCCGAAGTCCCCGAGGTGCGCCCGCGCCGTTTCCGAGAGCCCCACGATGTCCAGGCCCTTCGTTTTCGGCGGCGTCGCCGAGACGCCCTTGGCCACCAGGGGGCAGATGTCCCCATTAGCGAGCCGCTTGCCAGTCGTCATCATTCTCGCCAACGCACGCGTAATCCGGTAATCCAATGCTCCTTCCCCTCCCAGGCGGCAGATCACAGCCCTGCCGTCGTTGGTGGTGCCCTGGAGTCCAGCCTGGGCGCGCCTGTCCCGCAAGTCGTTGATGATGGCCGTCTGCAATGGGGTCGCAGTCCGCCAGTCCGGCCAACCCCTCCGCCGCTTCAGGACCAGGGTCTCCTGGCCCAGATGACCCGCCGCCAACCCTCGAACAGCCGACGATGCCCTCTGAGCTCGAGCAAGCGTCAGCCGCAGCTGCCTCTCGCCCATACCCCGAGAAGGGCGAGCAGAAAAACGCGCGCGGCATGAGGGGGGGCGTCCGCGACGGGCCCCACCCCCTCTCGTCCATCATCACCAGGGACAGGGCCCCCCAGGAGACTAACGCCCCGACGCGAGAAAATTACACTGTGACGTACCCAACCCATTTGTATCAATGGAAACGAGGAGGTGGCCGAAACTTGCATGGAAAATCACATTCATGTGTAAGCTACTTGGGACACGCGCCTATGGCATGACGCGCAGGAGAACCATGCAAGAACGAGGGGCGACTGCTACAGGCTCGAAGAGGATATGGGGAGTCGGGAACGCAGAGCAGGAGAAAAACGCGCGGGAAGCCGAACCATCAGAACGGCAGCAGCAGAGGGAAGGTGACTGCAGGAGGAGAACAAGGACGAAAGCGGCGTCAGATTTTAGTCTGCGGTGGGTACCCGCTGTGCTGGCCCCAGCAGGCCTCGAAAGTGGCGACAGTTTCACAGATCGCAGCCCCCCAGGGATGGCGAGGTCTAATTTGAATCTGCGGTGGGTACCCACTGTGCTGGGTCCCCCAGCAGGCCTCGAAAGTGGCGACAGTTTCACAGATCGCAGCCCCCCAGGGACGGCGAGGTCTAATTTGAATCTGCGGTGGGTACCCACTGTGCTGGGCCCCCCAGCAGGCCTCGAAAGTGGCGACAGTTGCGCAGATCGCAGCCCCCCAGGGATGGCGAGGTCTAATTTGAATCTGCGGTGGGTACCCACTGTGCTGGGCCCCCCAGCAGGGCTCGAAAGTGGCAACAGTTCCACAGAGCGCAGCCCCCCAGGGATGGCGAGGCCTAATTTGAATCTGCGGTGGGTACCCACTGTGCTGGGCCCCCCAGCAGGCCTCGAAAGTGGCGACGGTTGCGCAGATCGCAGCCCCCCCAGGGATGGCGAGGTCTAATTTGAATCTGCGGTGGGTACCCACTGTGCTGGGCCCCCCAGCAGGGCTCGAAAGTGGCGACAGTTCCACGGAGCGCAGCCCCCCAGGGATGGCGAGGTCTAGTTTGAATCTGCGGTGGGTACCCGCTGCGCTGGGCCCCCCAGCAGGCCTCGAAACTGGCGGCAGTTTTGCAGATCGCAGCCCCCCAGGGATGGCGAGATCAAAGGCAGGCAGGCAAGGGGGAAGAGAGGGGCGGGAAGGGGGTGGGAAGGAGACGCGCGCGGGAAGGAGACGCGCGAGCAGTGCTCTATTCAAAGCGAGAGCCCAACGCAGGAGGGTTGGGAAAAAAGTGTCGTCGAAGTAGAGTTCGGCGCCGGAGACGCCCCCGCCCGACCCCGAGAAATCGGCCACCCCCACGAAGCCGCGCAGCCACGGGGGCGCGACCAAGCAGCCACGAAGGCCCGCGAGGCGACTGGAAGGCAATAAAGCAACCCAGCAGTAGCCGTCTCCACCAAGAGCGTGGCCCTGCGCATTGAGCGCGCGCTTGGCCAGGACTTCCCACGGGGGCCGCGGCGGCAACCTATTCGTGATCCGCGCCCGTCGAGCTGCCGTCCTTGGCGCCCTGCAGATGCTTCAGCTTCTCCGTCGCCTCGTCGTCGGCCACGAGGTTGGCGGGCCCCGCGTCTCCGCCCACCTCGAGGTGCTCGCCCGCCATGGACCAGTCGACCTTGGAGCGCCACTTGCTCCCGCTCTGCTGCCCCTTCGGCCGCCGCCAGTCGCTCGCGCGCTTCCCGCCCCCGCAGGCCTTCCATGGGGGCCGAAGACAGGTGGGCTCGGCCGCGGGGCTGTCGATGAGCTGATCCATCATGCTGTCCAGCAACATGGCCAGCATCGTCACCTCCGAGCTGTGGGTCGCCCGCTCCTTCGACCCAACCGCTGGATCCCGCCGTGGCCGCCCGCCCCGAACGGCGCAACTTTCGGAGGACCGCGGGGGCGACCCTCGCCTTCACCCCGCCGACGGGCACCATCCGCGCATGCTTGAACTTCTCAGGTGCGGCGAGCAGCCCGTAGCGAGGGCCCCGACTCTCGTCCTTCAGCAACTGGATGCGCTCCTGCAGCTCCTCGTCCGCGCGACCGACCTGTTCCCAAGACCCCGCGCTGTCGTTAGACCTCGCAAGAGATCCCGTGCACACCGTGGCCTTGGAGGAGTCGGTCGCGACCGTGTCCACGTGCTCGTTCAGCTTCGATATGGAGTCGTCGATCTGGGTGCTGGCAGGCTGCCCTGCTCCTTCACTCACCGTCGGCACCTCTGGGCTGGGCGGGGCTGCGTCCGCAGCGCGATCCGGCCTCTCGACCGAGACCCCTGGGTCAACGTGCCGAGAGACTGCCCAACCCTCGGGTTCTGGATGGCACCCGTCAAGTCGATCACGGCCCGCTGCAGGGCCTGCTGCTGGTTGGCGAGCTTCGCGAAGGGGCGGCGGGGAGTCGGCTCGTCATCAGAGTCCGCCACCTGGGACCCGAGGGCCCTGTCGTCGTCGTCGTCGCTGGCCGCGGACCCTCTCTCGGAGCCGGAGTCGCTCGAACCGCCGTACGTCCACGCCCAGAGGAAGTAGCCCACCACGAGCGCGCCCCCCGCGGCCACGAGGACATACTCCAGACCTCCGCTCTCCTAGTACTCGCAGAGGGTGTCGTACACATGCTGCACATCCTCGACGGCCTCGCAGACCGCACGGGCCCCGTCATACGTCGCACGAATGATCGAGCCGCGGCGAAAGAAACGCCACAACCGCCAGCACATGAAAAATATGGCGCTCAACGATCCCCAGCTCCGCGTGGCCCACAGCACCGCGAAGATGTTCCCAAGACCACCAGTGATCCACGCAGCGAACCCACTCTTCGCAATCCTCTTCTTCGGCTTGGGCGGGGCTTTGTTGGACTTGACCTTGCCGTTCTCGGAATCCACCTGGGGCCTCGCGATCGCCCGCCCCGCCGCTGTGATCACCGAGTCCTTCGCCCGCGCCGACACGCCAGGGTGTTCAGTCCACTCCACGCCCGCTGTGGGTGTCGTCTGCGCACGCTTCTTGTCCCTGACGTCGATCATGACAATGCGATTCGTCGGGCCCGCTGCCGCCCACAGCCCAAGATAGTCGCCCCCCGCCTTGGTCACCAGGAGCATCACCACCCCGTGGGGCAAGGCGGGCTGCGCACGTAGATCCCGTTCCACCCCGCCCATGGAGCCATCGTCCACCTCGTAGTGGGCGTGCCCACCAGCACGTCACTCTCGTCGTAGTACTCGCGGGCGCCTCCGAATGCGCCCTCGAGAGGCCCACTCTCTGGGACCAGGTAGTGCAGCTCCAACACCACCGGGAGGAGAAGCACAGCGAGCGCCCCGCACGCCGTGATGTCGGCCTCCGCGCGTCCCGTGGCGGGGGTTCGGAAGCAGGCTGGTGCTTCGGTTCGTCGGTCGATGGGCTCGCTGGAACCCCAAACCAACTCGAACCGAAAAAACTATGAGCACAGACGCGGAGCGAACGACATCACAATGCAGAGCAGCGCCCACGAAGGGGCCAAGGCAAGGCCACTCAGTGCAACGAGAGCTAGACTGCAAACGGCCCCCGACCCCGCACCATGAGGCAAAACGCTATCGTGTGAAAACAGTTATTTTTTTCGTGCAGACCACAAAAGGTTATTAGAACATTCTTTGGTGGCCTATAGGCAAGCCCAAACGCTTCGCCACTGCTTGAAGGACCTCCGACTGCTCGTGTTTGCTCCGCGCTGTTCTCTTCCAGCTCGTCGCCTTCGAAGAGGAGGAGGAGGAGGACGAGGAGGAGGAAGGAGGAGGAGGAGGAGGAGAGGGAGGAGGAGGAGGCCACCCCCCGGAAGCGGCCGTCCTCGAGGAGGAGGAGGGGGGGCACTTGTAGTTCCCAGGTTCTTGGAGTCTTTGGGTCTTCGGGTCTTCGGGTCTTCGGGGGGAGGGTCGGGACTGCGGTCTGCGGATGGCGGATGGGTCTGCGGTCCTCCTGTCCTCGGGGGTCTTTGGTCTCTACGTCTACGTGACGGACGGCGTCGTCGTCGCCGCTGCCGCCACCGACGTTGTCGCCTTCGTTGTCGTCCTCCTCCGCGCCGTCGTGGTCGTCGTCGTGATCGTCGCCGTCGTCGTAGCCGTCGTCGTCGTCGTCGTCGTCGTCGCCGTTGTCATCGTCCTTGAGGTCGAGGTCCAAGGCCGAAGATCGAGATTCTGGGCCGTCCTGGGCCCAGGAAACACCGGCCTTCCTCCTTCCTCCTCCTCCTCCCCCTCCTCCTCCTCCTCCTCCTCCTCCTCCTCTCCTCCTCCTCCTCCCCCTCCTCCTCCCCCTCCTCCTTCTTCTCCTCGTCCGTCGCCATTTTGGCTCATGCCATCCACCAGCGGATGACAGCCCTATTGCTCAAGCTCGCTAGGCATCATGTCTCGCGGTGTGAGAAGCGGGGAGGTCTCCGACATGGAGGTGGCTGTGGGAGGCGCCCCAGCCGGTGGCGCCCTTTCATCATCACGTGCTTCACATAGGTCGCGAACTCGTGTTTCTGCTGACCGTCTCGTTCAGCGACTCTCCGGCAAGGTGGACCAGCTCGCCGCGCAGGCGCAGCTGGCTGAGGAGGCGCTCACGCTCATCGTGGGGAACTCGGAGGTTGGGGCTTGGCTCAGGGCGGTAGTGCCTGCTGTCGTGGCCCTGGTCCGCGGCGAGGAGCCCCAGTGGCTCGACGTGCTCCGCCGCAACGTCGCGCTGCACGCCGACGCGGTGGACATCGATGTGGAGCACGCCTCGGCCACCCAACTCCGTCGGGCGCAGCATGGGCCCAAGCTGGAGGAGAGGAGGCGCTCCCCTTCCCGCCAGGCCGCCTGTATGCGTGCTGAGGCTCCCGAGTTCGTCCGGCGTGCCCCCGCCTCCATAGTCGGGAGCAACTGCACGTGCGGCTGTGTATTGTATTCTTCCTGCCACTGGACCGAGCTCCTGGCAACATCAGCTATTGTTTTGCAGTCTCCCACCGCCGCCAGGGGAGTATTTTCTGGCTCAGCGGCACAGGAGACCCCCGCTCCGCCCTCGAAGGCGCGGGAGGTGCGGCTGGCAGAGGTCGTCGTCGATGGCGCCGCGGACGTGGTCTGCGCCGACGCTGTCGTGGAGGTCGACGGGGAGCCGTTCGTGGCTGACGTTGCGGAGGTCTGTCCTCCGTCTAACGGCTCTCTCCAGGAGGCCGACGGCGCCATGTCCGAGCCGCTCGTGAATTCCATCGTCTCCGCCGTGCATTTTTCCGAGACCGACGTCGAGGACGACGACTCGGGCTGCGACAGCGACGGCCCCGACCAGAACGTGGCCGCTGGCGGCTTCAGGCTTCTCACTGTGGGGTCCCACCCCCCCTTGGTGAACGGCCCTGTGGGTGGGGCAAGACCTGCGTTTGCCGACTTCGACGACGATATGCTGACCGACCGTGAACCCGTCAGCAGGCGGAAGCCCTCCCCGCAGCGGTTCTGCAGCCGCAAGCGGCGCGTTCTGGCCCGTGGCTCGTCGTCAACTTTCAGCGCAGGTACCAGTTCCAGAGATCACCACCCAGAAATGCCCGAGGCGGATTGCAAGCAGATGTGACGGCTTCCTGCTCCTCCCGTTCGTGCACTTCGTGATCATCCTGCTCCACCACTTCCAGGAAGGCAGGACTTGGGTGTTCATCCGCGGTTGATGTGGAACAATATCCTCCTTCTCCTCCTCCTCCTCCTCCTCCTCCTCCTCCTCCTCATCATCATCATCATCATCATCATACTTCCAGTACCCCCCTGCTTCCTGCTCCTCCTCGAGCGCCGCCTCCTACTCCTCCGCCTTCCTCCTCCTCCTGCGTCACCCTCTCCCTCATCCAATAAATTCCTGGAATGCCGTCTCCCCTTCTCATCGTCCTCGTTTTCGTCGTCAGTGTAGCCCTGGTCATCCTCGTTGTCATCGCTGCCCACCAAAACACAGCATCGTCATCATCATCATCATCATCATCATCATCATCATCATCATCATCATCAGCAGCATCATCATCATCATCATCACCATCATCATCATCATCAGCATCAGCATCAGCATCAGCATCATCATCATCAGCATCATCATCATCAGCAGCAGCATCAGCATCATCAGCATCAGCATCGTCATCATCAGCATCACCATCATCGTCATCATATTGTTTCAGCATCGTCATCATCATCGTCATCAATATCAGCATCACCAGCAGCATCACCATCATCAGCATCATCATCATCAGCATCATCGTCGGTATCATCAGCTTCATCAGCATCAGCATCAGCAGCATCATCAGCATCATCAGCAGCAGCATCATCAGCATCAGCATTATCATCAACATCATCATATTCATCATCATCATCGTCGGTATCATCAGCTTCATCAGCATCGTCATCATATTTATCACCATCAGCAGCAGCAACAGCAGCACAATCATCATCAACATCATTATCAGCAGCATCGTCATCATCATCAGCATCATCATCAGCATCACCATCAGCAGCATCATCATCATCATCAACATCATCAGCATCACCATCGTCATCGTCATTACCATCGTCACCAGCAGCATCAATAGCGTCGTCGCCATTATCTCCATACGCATCATCACCACCACCAGTACCAGTACCATCATCATCACCATCATCAACAACAATCATGTTGAGACTGTTCGCACCGATGTGCCCGCGTGCCATTCAACACTTATATCCGAAACCTTCGGTACCCACCCTGTTCGTCTTCGAACGTACCTCATGGGGGTACATCTTTCTTACCTGCCACGTGCATTCAGCGCAGCCTTCTGGAGCACGAGAGAAATTAGCAGGAGGGGGGATAGATGCAGAAAACACGTGTCACAACCAAACGGGCAGATCAGGCGGGCACACCCTAGCGGGAGGGTCGGGCAGGTGAGCCCAGGCGGCCAGGTCGAGCACGCGGGATGCTGAAGCGTGAATCCTTCACATTTAGTCCGGCATTCCGGTCCCCAAGAAGCCCAAAACATGGCATCAGAGCAGAACACCTTGCTCTGATTGTCCCTGCGATGTATATCTCTTTAATACACAACCGCAGGACGATGAAGGAAGCATGTACTTGCATCAGTGCGGAAGCCGGGTAAAAAATAGCAGTAAGGAAACCCGCGACAACCAAAACATGCAGCACCTGTCGCTGCGAAAATTGTGCGAGCAGCAAGGACGGATGAATGCGAAAAGTGAGGCTGGCACTCTCTTCCTCCCCCCCTACAATCGTCTGTCCCCCTCCCCCTCCTCGTCCTCCACCTGAAAACTGGATCATGGAAGTGGCGTTGCCCCAACCGCCGCCGCACATCAGAAATCAGGGCCTCGAGCGGGCGCAAGGGGGGCCCTAAGGGAGCTCCAGGCTGAAAAGCATCATGCAGCCCTGCATATGTCCCCACACCTTTGTCCGGCACTCTGGACGAGGACGTCTACGTTATATAATCTGTGCGCAACATATGAAAGTGCGGTATCCGCGCACTTTCCAAATTCAACTGATCGTGAAACGCTGCGAACAAACAAAGGAGAAACATTACGCGAAATAACTGCTACAACCGCATGTTTATTAAACATCGCTTCGAAACCGAAAAGCTGGCTCTGCACTGCAACGGCTCTGTATGTCCCGACGTCATAACCGCAGGACGCGGAAAAACGTATTTCCTAGTGGCTGTCCGAGAGCGTGCTAGGGCACAGCGCGGCCATGGAACATCGAGAACCTAAACACGCAGCAGATGCTGCTGCCAAAGCTGTGCAATCAGTGAGCCTGGATGACTGCGCCAAGTGAGGCTGGCGGTCTCCTCCTCCTCCTTGTCATCCTCCTCCTCCTCCCCCATTCCTCTATTCCTCCCTTCGGCATCACCCGCATCCCTCTTCTGCACGAGCGCACGCGCGCGCGCGACCAAAAACATTTCTCTGCACATGGCTCGCCTTGCTCGCGTAACACTGCTGGGCTGCTTGCTCGCGGGGCAGCGTCGTGGCGGCGATGGCCCGGCGCCGCCAACTGGATGGCCTCCTCCGCATTCCTCCTCCTGCCCCTCCTCCTCCTCCTCCTCCTCCTCCTCCTGCTACAACTACTACTACTTCTACTACTACGGCTACTACTAGGAATACTCTTACGACGACGACGACGACGACGACGACGACGACTACTACTACTACTACGACGACTACTACTACTACCGCTACTCCTAATTCTACAACCACTACGAATACTTATATTACACTAGGACTACGACTGCGATTGCGCCTACGACTACGACTACTACGACAACTACGACTACTACCACTACTACGACTACTACGACTACTACTACTACTACTACTACTACTACTACTACTACTACTACTACTACCACTACTACTACTACGACTACGACCTTGACTACTACTACTACTACTACTACTACTACTACTACTACTACCACTACTACTACTACGACGACTACTGCTACTACTACTACTACTACTACTACTACTACTACTACTACTACTTCTATTACTACTACTACTACTAATACTACTACTACTACTACTACTACTACTACTACTACCACTGCTACTACTACGAATACTGGTGCTACTACTACTACTACTACTACTGCTACGACTACTACTACTACTACTACTACTACTACTACTACTCCTACTCCTACTCCTACTCCTACTACTACTACTACTACTACTACTACTACTAGTACTACTACTACTACTACTACTACTATGATTACGACTACGCAAACGTCGACTACTACGACTATTACGACGACTGCGATCAATACCCATATTACTATTACTAATTCAAACTACGACCGCTACTACTACTACTACTACTACTACTACTACTACTACTACTACTACGACTACGTTTACGACTACGACTACGACTACGAATACGACTACGACTACTACTATTACTACTACTACTACTACTACTACTACTACTACTACTACTACTACTACGGCTACTACAACTAGGCTACTACTACTGCGGCTACGACTACTACTACACTGCTACTACGACTACTACTACTCCCGCTGCTACGAATACAACTACGACCACGACGAAGACGACGACGACGACGACGACGACGACGACGACGACGACGACGACGACGACGACTACTACTACTACTACTACTACTAGTAACGCGAATACTACGACTACGACGACTACTGCGAGTACTACGACTACCCCTTCTACTACTACTACTACTACTACTACTACTACTACTACTACTACTACTAGTACTACTACGACTACTACTACTACTGCTACTACTGCTACTACCACTACTACTACTACTACTACTATTTCCTCGCCTACTTCTAATACTACTGATGCTAGTTGTGGTAGTAGTGCGAATACTACTTGTGGTACTCCTACTACGACCACCACTACTACAACTACCACTTTTACTACTTCCACTACTACTACTACTACTACTACTACTACTACGACTACTACTACTACTACTAATACTACTACTACTACTACTACTACTACTACTCCTACTACTACTACTGCTACTACTGCTACTACTACTACTACTAGTACTACTACTACCACTACTACCACTACTACTACTACTACTGCTACTACTGCTGATGCGACGGGTAGTAATATTACGAGCAGTACTTCTACTACTACTACTACTACTACTACTACTACTACTACTGCCACCACCACTACGATTACAACTACTACGAGGACGAGTACTACTCCTATTACTCCAACTACCACCATGACATCTACGACTACTA